CCTTAAAACTTCTCAAATTCAGAAGCCAAACTCAAATTGTGAATCAGTCGTAGGAATTCTTTTGCTGAGTACATGAATCTTTGTCATTCATAAATGGATATGAAAATAGCCATAGCACATATGAAATGAATTCATTTTACTATTCGGTTAATAGTGCCAGAATTAAACAGAAAGAAGTTTACCAGTAATTGTCTCCTTTGAGTTTTCTAAGATCCTTGATGATCATATAAAAGTTTATAATAAAAAGTACAGTTAACATTTTACCTGCCAGTCATCAACAAAAGCAATAGCTTTATAAAAAGTTATTTCAATAAGGAAAATACTTAAAGATTTTTTATCAATATCAGATTAAGTATCTAGTAATAATTGTGGTATCTAGCTAAGGTCCACAATACAGATTTGAGTAAAAATATTAATGATATATATCTATGAATTAAGTCATTTTGATTAGAAATATAGAGATACTTGTCAAGATAACTTTTTATGTCTACAGTATATAATTTTTATATTTGTAATTATTATATATTTAACAAGGTTTATGTGTGTATATAATATGTGCATGTGTGTGCACACCTGTGCATATGTATCAGACTACTAGGTGGCTCTATACTTCAGAATGCAGACTGTTTATGAAATATGATCCTATCATGATATATTGATTGTGCTGTGCTCCAACCAACTCCAAACGATACACACTGTGAGTGTTGCATTCTCAGAGCTATGAAAAATAAGCATGCTGTTCTTTCAACGTCAAAGTAGCCAATAATGTGCTGTGATAAATAACAGGTGTCTGTGCCAAAATCCTGAACACATACTGATGGCTTCATTATAAGCCAAAGCAATAAATAGCAAATACTGTGTAAATGATTAAATACTTCCAACCAAAAACACTACCAGACTAAATAATTAAACGTTTATTTTACAAATACAAATTTTATTTTAAATAACACCAATGTTTTATTTTTATATTTTTAAGTAATATTAATGTTTTAGAACTGTGAAAATGTTTCAGTGAAAAAGAATCCATTTACACTAGGTGATGTTAAGCTTTCCATTTCTTTTTTATAATTAGAGCAGCTCCATAGTTTATTGTCAAATAAACACTTTAGAGAGTAAAGTGGTACTAATAATAAGTAGTGGAAGACAGCAGGCATAAACTAGCACTAGTTACAAAGCAGAACTTACTTATGGTTAACTTACTTACAATTAAAAACACCAACAAATCCAAACATTCTTTGGTCTACTAAGTTGTTTTACTCTTACATCTAATATGAAAGTCTGCATATCTTTGAATATGAAAGTCTGCACATGTAAACGAAAAGAAGAGAAAGACTGTCTTTAATACCTATTATGAGTAAATCTAGTCCTATTATGCCCCTGTGTGGCCAGCCAGCACAGCAGATTCACTGGCTCACATTTGGTGACAAAGAAATAATTATATCTGAAGGAAAAGACATATTTCTTGACTGTACAAGGAAAATTACTAAAAGTCAGCAAATGGAAAAATTTAGGAGATATTAAGTGCATTTTCCAGAATTTTATCACAAAAGATAGTCATCATCTTTTGAATACTGTTGAAAACAATTGGTTACTCAATGCAGTGAACTGTAGTAAAATGTACCACTAGCATCCCAGTATTTATGTTTCCTTCCAAAGACAAGATCACGAAACTTAAATTTCATAAGAAATTTAGGACTTAAGGACTTTTCTACTGGCAACAAAAGCAATTATCTTTGTATCCCGGTTAATTTATTTGGGGAAAAATGAGTTTACAGTAAGGAAACTTGATAAAAAGTTTAAGTGGCATTTCATCAAAACCTATCAAGTGGATTGACATAGGACACAGACACTGGTTTGTTTTTTCTTGCTGGGCCTTCAGTTGTTTCATTTTAACTGTAAAAGGGCAAAGGATATCTTGCCACCTCTTTTATGCACTAAAATGGTACTCAAGAGCCACAATGATAAGAGAATCAGTTAAAAACTTTCAGTGTGAAACCTAAGGGTTGTGCTATATGATTTCCAACAAAAAGTTAGTCTAAAATAGTCTAATGATTTTCACTCACAAATAAATTTCAATTATTCATCAGATAATAAAATGCTTTAATCTATATTAGTCTCCAGTTTAGTGATTTATGATACATAAAATATATTGGTATTTTTAAAATCTTTGCTCCTTTGGCAAGTTGAACCTGGAAATGTTTTTGGAGCAATTATTTTGGGAGATGTTTGTCTTTTAATCATTTATTGCTAATATGTCATAGAAGTAAACCACCCTATCATCTGACAACCTGATGAAAGTTGCGTTGCAGATTTATGGATGAGATTGGGCACCTAGAAAAAGTCTCAAGAAAACTACTTGAAAGGGCCTTCTTTTAATACACTGTCTCCAATTGATGCATAGTTTTATTCTAGTAATTTCTCCTAGAAAGCAATTCAGAAGAAAATATAATCTAATTGTCCACATCCCTGATGTTATTTGCTATCAGTTTAAAGATGTAATTAATATCACAATACAAATACTGAATATTTCATTTCAACTAGTCCAAACAAACAAGTACTATTCATGTAATAACAACCAAACTGTTCTTTCCAGAGATGATAATTGATGCTTCAAATCTCAAAAGCGTAACATCCAGTCCATGAAGTTGAAAGGCTCGTTATTTAGGAAAAAAGTTGTAAGATAACATCTTCTGATGACATACTAAGGCATTCTTTTTCCATTTTTTTCCTTCAAGGATGATTTTTTTGAATACTGTCTACATCTTACTTTCTGACTCAATGAAATGTTGATGCTTAGGTATTTGTACTTTTTTTAATCTAAGCAGAATAATAATTTTAAAAGACCATTGTGTCCGATCTGAACACATGTAGCCAAAACATTAAAATATGTGGAAGGGGGCATTAATTGCATGTTCTTATAAATTTATTTTTACTCTTCAAGCTTCTAAAATAATAACTATTTGTAAACTGGTTTTGTACTTGATTAGCTATGAAGATCAATAGATCGACATGTGAAAAAATGTCATATTTTTTATAAGACCAAGAAGTTAAGAACATAGGCAGGGATTTTTTTTTGCCCTAAAACAGAATAAATTCTTTATTGATTAATTGATAGTTTCAGATAATTTAGGTAAAAAATAAGTTAAATAAGACTGGTCTTACAGAATTCTTAGAAAGTCCACAATTTAATGTTTAATTACAACAGCATAAAATTCCAGATTTTTAATAATGATAGCACTGCAATTATTAGCATAACAATAATAAAAGGAACTTGAGGCCAAAGCAAATGTGTAATGGGAATGCACACAATTCCCTCAAAAAATAGATAGTCTCATATTTTAAAACTAGTAGCATTTACTTTAAAATTAATTCCATACTATGCTGATAATAGCACAATTTCTAAAGTGAATATATACCCAGCCCCAATATTAATATTTTTAAACACATAAATTCTTGGCATTAAAAGAAGAGAGAAATCAAACAAGAAAAGATTCATAAGGGATGAGCACAGAACCTAAAACTCTGGTAGCTTTGGGTCAAGGAATTTTTAAGAAAGCCATACTGCCTCTTCTATTTAAATCAATACAGACTGTTTTATCATAAATCATACACTTAAACAATGTATTACTAAATAAGAAAACCCACTATCTTAAAATATAGATAGCCTGTTATAGAATATCATAGCATTTCACATGCTGTTATATATTTTACATTAGTCTGAAAACAAAATATTAAAAAAATGAATTAGTTAATTGAACAGAGCTGCACTGAGGAAAAGTGAAATTTTATAAAAAGGAAACCTGCTGTTCCATAATCAATAGAAAGGTCATAGATATATTTATCATTGGTAAACATTTTAAATGCCTACAAATTTATAAAGCCTCCTTTACATTTGCTAAATTAAAGCACATACTCTTAATAGGTATTTTTTCATCTCTAAAATAGGCTGCCTCACATTGTTCAGAGACCCTAAAAGGAAGAGACCTGCAAAACCATTCGATATTCTAGGCACTATTAGTTTTCCCTCAATTTCCAGAAGGTTTCAATGCATTACCATTTCCTTCTCAGTCTTTCTCCACATGTATTTAGTTAAATTTTTTTTCTATACTTGGTACATAACATTAGAAATTCTGAAAAGACAAGCAACTTAAAGGAGGAGAAAACTGCATGATAAAATTGCAATTTAAAAGCATTCTTTAATAGGCTACCTCTTTTCTTGCAAGCTAGAGAAAGCATCTAAAAACATATGCTCATAATTTAGCAACCTTCACCCCCCCCCCACNGGGGGAACATCATCTAGGACCATACCTCCCATGGACACAGGGGAAGTCCAGAAAATGGACTTCTTCAAGGCCACAGGTGCCCTGACTTTCCATTCAAGAATCCCCCAAAACAACCCCCCCCCCCCACACACACACACACACACACACACACACAAAGATCAGCTGAAAAGCAAGAGAATTTATAACAAAGCATCTTTCCAAACTACCCGATCTAATACAAAGCATTATTAGCAGTTCCATAATGTAGCTGTTTAAAAGTGATTATTGATCTGCCCTGCATAGAGGAATATCTTAGACCTAGGAAACATCCCCCGCATGTTTTACAAAGAGCATGCATGGCTGCTAATTCATATCTTCTAGCAAATCACGTATGATTATACAGCCCCATCCCCACATATGCAATATAATCTGTGTCATGATCACAAAGAAAAAAATTCAGGCATTTCAAGTTAATCCTTTTATTTATTAGAAAATTAAATCGTGAAACAGCCTGTATGTTTCAGAGGTCAAGCTAAATTTAAGATGCTTTCTGTGCTTTGAAGTAAGCTTGTTTTCTTTCTTAAATCAATTCAGAACACTACATAAGATTTTATATTTCTGATCAAAAGGCAACACCCTTATAATGCTAACATTTTAATACAGAACAATTTCTACAGACATATAAGATTATTCTGAAAATACCAATACTAAAAGAAAATATAGTTTAGCTTTACTCACCTTGCATTGTTCAGCGTTTGTCCAAAAAGCTCGTTTTGCAAAATATTTGGTGGGGATGAAAAAACCCCATGAAAATGAGATAAAACAGAATTGCAGACCTGGCGCAATGTCTCAAATTGCATTTTCTTTTTTTTTTTTTCTCTTCTCCCTTATTTTTCCTTACCACCTGTCTTTAAAGTCATCTATTTGCACACACCATCAAATAAAAACATGCCAATCAAGTTCCATATTTCTCCTGAGCTCTGTAAAAACTGTGCTTAAATGAGCAGAGGTGGATAGTTAATTGTACAGTCATTATTCTAATTCAGTCGTAGAAGATTCAGTACCGTGCAGCTTTCGGCTTGCTCCTGACTGTAGCAAGAATTCTAAACAGCAATAAGCTTTTTGGGCTTTCCCAGCTGAAGTGTGAAGCTGAGCTGCTTTCATGTACTCTACTCATATTTCTCTAAGCCTATTAGAAACACGCAATGAATAGATGCTGTCGTCAGGAGTTTCAGCACATCTGGCTGCCAGCAATAAAACCTAAGAAGTAATAAAAATGGGGACGAGGTATCTTCTCAATGCTACTACCAGGTAAAAGGGAGAGAAATTATGCATCCTCCAACCCTTTTCTCTTTCCCTGAAAAATAAATCACTCCAGCAACAGAGTATATAGGTCTCTCCAGTGTTCGAGCTGCTGCATAGGACCAGAACACTCTAAAAATAAGTGGCCTATCCTTCTTTTGATATCACGAAGCCATAAAAATATGATAGACCACAGAGCCTTTACTGCCAGCATTTATAATGCCATACTTCTAAAGACACGTTTGGAAAACATGTATTTCATCATCTTAATTTCTTATCTAACTTTAAAATGTCTCTTTTTTTTTTTAAGTCAATAATGTTCAATCTGGTCCCTTTTTAAAGGCCACACATAGTGAATACATGATTAGTCATGTAATTTTAGGGGGGAAAAATACCCTATCAATTAAAAGGCACTTAAGCAGCACACATATCAACTTTCCCACAAATCAAAAGCACAACTAACACCAGTGAGACTATCAATTGTTATTAACTTATTTCAATAATGGTGGTCATAGCATTTTTCAGAAAAGGGTATTTCCTGAAGGCTCCAGTATTCTTAGAATACCCCAGATCACCATCTTTTCTCAATGAATAGTTCAGGATAGATAAAATCTTAGGTTATTCTATATCCAGGGGTGTCTATCTTTCTACAAAAGATCTTCTAAAAGTATATAAACCAAATTTTAAAAATCAACACATTTATACAGATGATTAATATTCATTGATCTTTACTTGCTCCTAAACCATTACATTTATTTAACAGATAATCCCTTTTAGCCCTTTCTTTTTTACCTCAACTTTAGCCCTAACTCCCCCTATTCCCTTCCACACACATAACACTATCAATAAGTAGGCACGGAAATACACTAAGATGATTTTTTAAAACTGGCGAATTCTTTTTTGACATAAATAAACATGTCACAAAAGAGCCACACAAAATAAATAGGTAATAATATAAAATGTTAAATGACACAAAAATAAATATTCTATGATGTAAAATTTTAAACTAATTTATTTTTTTATAAATTAAGATGTTCAATTATGAGTTTGTCCTCAACTAAAAAGTGCTCCTATTTTGCTTATTATTCAAGCAATAATTTTTATAGGCGCACACTAATCTATCTATGAAATACATATACACACACATGAAGTATTTTTTGGTTTATAAAGTACTTCTAAATTTATTTTTTTAATATCCAGAAAACATTGTGAGTAGATAGTAATGTTGCTATCATTTTATTAAATTTCTTTTTTAATTTTTATTGAATTTATTGGAGTGACATTGGTTAATAAAATTATATAGGTTTCAGGTGTACAAGTCTATAATATAACATTCATATATTGTACTGAGTGTTCACCACCCAGAGTCAGGTCTCCTTCCATCACCATTTATCCTGTTTACCTTCTTCTGCCTCCCTACCCCCTCCCCTCTGGTCATCACCATGCTGTTGTCTGTGTCTATGAGGTTATTTGTTTTTGCTTAATCTCTTTACCTACTTCACCCAGCCCCCAACCTCCCTCCCCTCTGACAGCGCTTGGTCTGTTTTCTGTACCTATGAGTCTGTTTCTATTTTCTTTGTTTATTTTGTTCATTAGATTCCACCTAAAAGTGAAATCATATTGAGGGTGTAGGGAACTAAAGATCACACAGCTTGTAGAAGATTTGAATGAACGTCTTTACTGTGGACTCCATTTCAAACACTCTTTCCCCATCATTCTGTCTTCTATATATGTACACACATGGGCACACACACACATGCACACATCTACTTGTGAACAGAGCAGTCTCTACAGATGAATTGAAAAACTACTTGCCAGTGACAATCAGGAATATTTTGGTTGGAGCAAACATCTCAAAATCTTTAACTCACAAGTAACGTTAAATGAGTTTCTTCCATTTAACTCAAACAGAAGCTTCACATTTTTAAGCCTCTGATCATAATTTGTTTTTCACACCTATGAAAGATCAATTTCTAAAAGTTGAAACATATACATTAAAATTCTTAATTTCAAAGCTCATACCCTCTGTGATAAAAAGTATAAACATATGTATAAATCTCCCCCCATGGGTAGACTGAGTTTTTATAATCAAAAGCCCTTTTGAAGCAAGTCTATTAAAAAAGAGGTTGATTGCACAGCAAAACATTCTTTGGTGTTAAAAACGTTTCTTTTGTGTTTCAAAATTGGCTCTGAAGGCAAGGTCAGGCAGTTTCAAAAATGGCCTAAGCAATGGAAACATCATTGGAGTGAGCATTAAAATAACTTCTTTCAAAGAGTAAACAATATAGCAACTACCTTTCTCAGAGCCTTACTTTCTAGGTTTCACCACACAACACACAGTCTTTCTCTTGGTACCCTCAATATCCCACAAGTGACTTCTTTGGCTTTTCCACTCCACTGCCACCTTTCACCTGCTCTTACTCATCCCTACGGGCTGAGAAGACTTTCTCTTCCTGAGAAGACTTTCTCTGACCTAGGTCTGATCCCCCATAATGCACTGTCACTGTGCCCTGTACTTGCTCTTCACAGCATTTGATAAGAGAATAACTATATATTTACTTGAAAAAAAAGTGTAACGTTTTTCACCCTCAGTTCCATGAGGTTAAGACTCACATTTGTTTTGTCTAGAACAGTGCAGAGTAGGTGCTCAAGAAATATTTGTTGACTAAATGGATGCCTAAATTTTACTGAAAAATTAATTCTTTTTTAGTCATATCCTATAAGTGAGATAGTGAAGCAACCACTCAAGCCTTACTTCGGTTCTGTGTTTATTTTAGCCTACCACATCACGTTATAAAGTTCATAAATATAAGAGCAACCAATATTTATAATCAAAAGCATTGTTCTTTGGATGGACTTTGTATCTGTTCTGAATATCCTGAATATTATAAAAATGTTTATAGCTAATATTTGCTTTAAATATTCTATACACTGCAGGCTCACAAGTAACAAAAATACTGGGAGCCTCTGTAAGGACAGGAAGAACATGCACTTGGAGTCAAATGGCCTGGATTTAAGTACAGACTCCAACTCTAACTACCCATTACTCCTCAGGATGTTCATGTTACATATCCGGGCTATGGTTTCTTCATATGTAAAATGAGTTGTATCACTTACTTCCTAGGGTTATTACTGTATTAAAACATGTAATGTATATAAATGCATTTTACAAACTCTATAAAGTACACAGTACTTGAAGTAACCTATCTACGGAATCTTAGAACTATCTAAGGAATCAAACTATTGGGACCAGAATTCTGACAATTATGTTCAGGTAGGTATCTTTTACTTATGATATTTATTCATGCAACAAATATTTAATGAATTTCTTTGTGCAAGGCTGTATCCCTCTCAGAATGTGAGGTCTCCGAGTAAGGTAGGCTCCATATTTACGCTGAGTCCAGCCGAGAGGCAATACCTCCCACACACAGTGGCAATCGGTTTTTCTATGGCTGTTCTACAATCTCTAGGACCTCACTGGAAATGACAATGCCAACTAGAGTTCTCACAGAAGAAGAGGCATTAAAGAAATTTTTAGCAGCAAAGGCAATTTCATTAGAGAAGATACCTAAAAAGCCATGTGTGGGATATAAAACTGAAAGCAACAAATGAGCAAACAAGAAAAACAAACAAAAATTCGTAGACACAGTGTGGGGGTTACCAGAGTGGAGGAGTGGGGGGAGGTAGTAAAGGGTAAGGACGGTCAAAGATATGATGACAGAAGAAGATTTGACTTCGGTGTTGGGGACACAATGCAATATACAGATGATGTATCACAGAATTGTATGCTTGAAACCTATGTAATCTTATTGACCAAAGTCACTCCAATAAATTTAATTTAAAAAAAAACAATCAACGCTTGATAAAGTTCAACCTAAAAGTAATCAAAAGAATTCAAATAGAAATAATAATAATGTAATGTATTTTTGCCTGTTAATTGGCAAAGTACTGACCAGTGGGTCAGAGAACAGGCACTCTCATACCATATTTATTGACAGGAATTTACATTGGTAGAGCCTGTTGAGAAATACTTAGCAATAAGCAACCAAAACTTTAAAAATTTTCAAAATCTGAGAGGACACTAGAAGAAGAAACACCGAAGTGTTAGTGTTCATTATCTCTGGGTGAAAACATCACAATTTTTTTCCCATCGTACTTTCTGATACACTAGCCAAAAGACAGGCCCAAAGTTACCCATGGTAAAGAACTCCACAATTACAGTGAAATCATGAACCATAACAATAGTAAGTGCTGGCTTTTGCTCAGAGATACTCAAGTGACTCAAATACTAGATTTTTAGTTTTCCTGTGCTTAGCTAGATCCGTTAGTAATGGTATCCTCCCTTCTATCAATAAATCTTTTAAATTCTGTAATGACTCAAGTTGTTTAATTAATACTATGAAACATCCAAATAAAATGAGAAAATAAACCTTAGCACTAACATCTTTACATCTTCCTCAAAAATATATAAGCTTTTAAAATTATTTTTAAGAGTCTCGGTTTACAAATGCCTAGTGATTGAAGCTAAAGAAATCTGACACAAACTCAGAAGTTAAAT